ATCTTCCACCGCCACCACAGTCGAGTGCCCCTTGAGCAATGATACACTTTCCCACCCCTCCCGCTCCTGGTGACCCCTAGTGAACTCTGCCCTCTCTCCCTCTGCCTGGTCTAGGGATGAGTGGCATCAGCCACTATTTCTCTTTTGGTGACTGAGTGACTCTTCTCAGCATCATGTTTTCAAGGTTCACCCACGTGGTGGGCTGCGTCAGGACCTCATTCCTCTTCGTGGCTGAGTAATATTCCTTTGTATGGATATGCCGCAGTTGTTCATCCATTCATCTGCTGATGCACATTTAGGCTGTTCCCATTTGGGGTTGCTGGGAATAGTGCCGCAATGACCGTTGGTGTATGGTTTTTGTTTTCTGTATTCCTTCAAGCTAAGCTTACCTGGGATGGTTATATGACATACGAGCTGGGTGGCAACTTGCTGCCACCTCCCAGGGCTCTGTGTCTATTTATTACAGCCAATTTAGAAACAGCTGCCTGCAGGGAAAGTGCTGGCAAGTTCCTTCAGAACATACTCAAGCCAAGAATACCAGCGGCCTCGGGCAGGAGAGCCTAGGGACACTGTGAGCTTCCACAGAAGTCCCTTTGGCTTGGCGTCACCTTGAAGCAGGACAGAAGGCCCACACTGACAGAGGACAGTGAGGGGACCCGGGAGCCGTGAATGCTGACTGGCATCAGGAGTGTTTGCTCATGAACCGAGAGGGGAAGGCGTGGAGAGAATCCAGGCTGATAAAGAGAAGGAACAAATTTCACTTTTGTTTTCTTTTCAAATAATATTTTACTGTGTTTTGGTGAAGGTTTACACAGCAGTTTAGGCTCCCATTCAATAGTCTCTACATAAGTAGCTCAATGACATTGGTCACATTCCTCACAATGTGTCAGCATTCTCATTAATTTCTGTTCTGGTTGTTCTGTTTCCATTAATCTAGTTTCCCTGCCCACTTGCTTTCTCATGTTTGTTTTAAAGTCATCATTGACCATTTGCTCTCATATAGATGATTTTTTCAAAGGGGCACAGTACTTAACAGTGATGTTCATTATTTTTTTGAGCCAGTGTGTTATTCAGCTCCAGGCTGACCTCAGAGGTTAGTTTTGGTTCAAGGCTTGAAGAGCGTATCAGGGCAGCAGTCTCTTGGGGAGTCCTCCAGTCTCAACCAACCCAGGTCTTTTTTTTTTTTTCAGAGGTTCTGTTCCACATTGTCTTCCTGGATTTCATTTGTCAAAATCTCTTTATTTTGAATTTATTTAGGATTTAAGGAGAGCTGTAAGAGTTCAGAGAGTGAGAGTTGCCATCTGTAACCCTTCAGCCAGCTTCCCCTAATTGGCCAGCTGTCATTTAAGTGGCGCGACCTCATGGGCAAGAGAAGAACGGTGATCAGCTCTGCACCACCTTCGTCCATTGCTGTGACTGCTGGTCGACCGTCTCAGTGAGGGCTGCCCTCATCTTCGCTGACCATCTACCAACCATGACGTCCTTTCCTCTAATGCTGACATCTTACATAACCGGGGTCCATTTATCAAAACTAAGGAGTTCACATTACTGCGACACTCTTGACCAAACACCAGACTTTATGTAAATTGATGTAGTTTTTCCAGTAATGTCCTTTGTTCCAAGGTCCTACCCCGGATCGTTTTGTCATCATACCTCCTCTGATCTCAGTCAGTTTCTGTCTTTCCTTGTTTGTCATGACCTTGACAGTTCTGAAGAGATTTGGTCAGATTATTTTGTAAAAATTCTTTTTATTTCTAAAAATCTGTTGGCTGAGTAGCCAGGGCTGTGGTCTGGAGCAGGGGTCAGCAAACTCTGTAACCTGTGAGGCAAACACTCTGCTGCCCATTTTGTATGGGCTCGTGAGCAAAGAATGGCTTTTATATTTTTGACTGGTTGGAAGCCATCAAAAGAATACCCCTTCACGATGCATGAATATTACTATGAAATCCAAATCCAGGGTCCATCAACAAAACGTGACGGGAACCTGTACTTGTTCATTTATATGTGTTTGAACATTACTTTTTCCTCTGGAACATCAGCCCTGAGGACTTGCCACCAAGACCATCTGCCTGGCAGCGTCTGAGGCATTTCCTCTCCGGCCCTGGATGGACAACGTCTGCTGAGCCCTGAGGGAGAGGGCCTGTGAGCACCCGGAGTTCACTGCTGTTCAAAAGCTGCGCCACTGATTAAGGGCACTGAAGCTTCACATCCATTCATTTGATCAGTCAACAAATATCTATCGAGGGTCTGAACTGGGAGCAACCTTTTAAAATTATTTATTTATCTTATTTTTAATGAAAAGAGGCCTGTGTTTGAGCAAATGTGAACCAAGGCTGAGCGCCTGGGGTGGGGAGAGGTGTGTTCTGAGAGTCTCAGCTCTCAGGCACCATTTCTGTCTTCCGCTTGGGGCCGTCCGAGAGCAGTTAGACCAGAGCGCTGTCCTGTGCCCACCCTGCTCAGCTCATTTGAACCCCCACAAGACGCCAGGAGGAGTTCAGGAGGAAACTGAGGCGCAAGGGGTTAGGCACGCCCAGGTCAGGCAGGAAGCATTAGATGGCGGGAGCAGACAAGGGGCCCTGGGAAGGCCTGAGCAGGCCTGTGCTCAGAGGGGCCCTGGGTGGCGGAGGGCTGGACCCTGGAAGGTAACCCTTCCTCTCCACGTTCCTGAAAACTAGAAGCCAGACGCCAGGGGCATCAGGTCAGCTCTCCAGAGGCCCATCTGAAATCGAGTTCTTTTCACAGGGACCTCAGGACATTACTTTTCGCGTTCCAAATTCTGTCCCCAAGTCCTCATGCACAAACCCGATGATAACGTCTTCCGCCCCTTTCCTTTCTGTCGGCTGTCGCTGGGGTGCCAGTCCCTCTGTGGAGTTCCGGGTCAGACGGTCTCGCCGCCTCCTCCTCTGGACGGGGGCACTGACGCCCGTCCTGGCTGCTCTCTGCCCTCATCAAACAGCTCGAGAGACCCCCAAACAAAAGCATCTGTGGGAAGAGGTCCCCAAGGTGACAAGGGGCCCCGGCAGCCATCTGGGGCGGGCAGGGGGGTGTCACTGCCATCATCCCTGTCTGTGGCTTCTTGAGCTTCTTGGATGACTGTCTGTAGCCAGAAGCCCCCCTATGCACTGGCTTAAAGAGAGAAGCAGGAAGTTGGCTCAGGACAGAGACAGCATCCCGATCTGTGTTTGACAGTGACCCCAAGCCCTGACCACCCGCGGTGGGTCCAGTCAGTCACTGGTTGGTTCTGTTAAAGATGGTTATTACAACACATTGTAGACAATAACATCAGAATGCACCAGACTTCGTGAACAAAGCCCCAGGTTGGTGTACAGGCTGCATCCAATTTCCAGTCCTTCCCTGAGAGAACAGGTCATTTGAGAATGTCCTGTTCCCTGCAAGGCCCCTGGATTGGTGGCAGAGCCCCTGAGCAGATGCAAGACTGAGTCACAAGCTTGTCTCTTTCTTTTTTGTGTTTTGAAAAAGGAACAAGAGGTAAGTGAGGTTACCCAGCCCGGGACGCACGCTGATGAGCACCTTCGGAGCCCCGGCCGGGCCGCCTGGCCAAGGTCACGGTGACACAGACCGGTTCGGGGTAGGTGGTTCTGTTCCCTGTTGCAGGGTGTTCCAAATGCTCTCACCGTGCCAGATTCCGATGGAGCACCGTGCTGTGAGAGTGCTTTGTGCGTGAATGAGGACGTGGCTGTTATTCCGTTTCTCTTACACAGAGCTTTGCTCCTTAGGAGAAAATAGCTCTAAGTAGATCAGAAACGTTATCTCAAATGGGAGTTTCTCTGGGGAAGTGCCTGGCTTGGCTGGGAGGGTGTCGGAAGGAGTGTGTGTGGAGGGCAACATTTAGCATGTCTGGCTGCAGAAGACCCCAGAACTGATGACAAAACTCTACAATCAGACTATAATTTCCAACGGTTTACACTAAAATGATACTCTATTTTCAAGGCCAAAACACTGCTATAAACTTGGATATAATGTCCCTAAATGTCCTGAAAGGAACCCTGTGGTACAGTGCTTAAAGCATTTGGCTGCTAACCAAAGAGGTCTGCAGTTCAAACCCACCAGCTGCTCCGTGGGAGGAAGATGAGGCAGCTGCTTCCATGAAGAGACAGCCTTGGAAAGCACCCGGAGCAGTTCTCCTCTGTCCTATAGGGTCGCTATGAGCCGGAACGGACTCAATGGCAGTGGATTTTTTCAATGTCCTGAGAGTGGTGAGCCGGCCTGTTTGGGCCAACTGCGTGTTTCTAAGCCCCGCAGAGTGCGTGGCGGGCATCAGCAGCGCTGGTCCGTGCAGTGTGTGTACACGGGAGAGCCTGTCTAATGGCTGCACTGTGTGGTTCAGGTACAACCAGGGCCCGTGGGTGCTTTCTGCATTTTCGTCTGCAGTCGCCACCAGGGTTAAGCACGGTGCGTGATGCTCTTCCCTAATGGCTGCACCCAGCTGCTTGCGGACATCACTGATAAGCCGCCACAGTCAGGGACTTCCATGGGCCCGGCACCCCTAGAGCCCCCTTCCCACCTAACAACTGGCAGCGGGGACCCTCGGTCAATGACATTAAGCCAGGCCAAGCTGTGGGAGGGACTCCTGGGGAAGGGAAGGGAATAGGCCAACTGACTGTCATTTCCCTGGGCTGCACGTGTCACAGGGCTGCTGGCCGAGGCTGCTTCTGTCCCCAGAGACCATGCCACCCTGTGTCCTGCTCCAGGGCCTCCCCCAGAGGCACCTCCTTAGACGAAGCCCTACAGATGGGCCAGGGTCTCCAGCCACCGTCGCAGTCAGTGGCCAGCGTTTTTCTTGCCTCCACCCACTTTCCTGCTTTAAAAACAGTGGACTGTCCAACTCCATGAATTCCACTGCTTACCATTTTAATGCCAGCAAACTCTAAGGAGCCTAGAGCAGAAATAGGGAAATACAGGGAAAGCAGTGCCACTTAGAAGGAAAAAAAAAAAAAAAAATCCCACACACACAAAGTCCTTTGTGCTACAAACATTCCTTACACTTCACTGACCATATGATCTTGTCTGGAATCTTCTGAAATGGTTAAGCCAAGAATGTCAGTTGCGAATATTTCTGCCGTGATTTCGTCTGGAAGTTGTTCTTCAAGGGAAATTTCTGGACCTAGCCAGACAAGAAAAGAGACCATATTTCTGCACAGTGATTTGGTTTCTAACTCAGGTGCATTTTGTAAAAGCCCAAGAATATAATGCTAAGAAAGTGGAAGGTGTTTTGTGCTATCGTTTGGCTTTGAATCCTTCAAACCCCTTGGGAGGAAACTGGTTAAAGCCCTCCTCTACGGAACTGAGGCCTGTTAAGCAAATCTTTGCAAAGCACATTGGAAGCCTTAATGGCTGTCGTTCCCTGCCAGTGGGGCAGCCCTGCCTCATGGCGACCCTGAGTACAGAGGAGTAAATGCGGCCTGGTCCTGCCCCAACCCCACGCGGGGCGGCAGTGTGGGCTGTTAGACCCATAGGGTTCATGGGCTGATTTTCAGAAACAGATCACCAGGCCTTTCTTCCTGCTCTTAGTCTGGATGCTCAGTACCATAGTAGCCCCCAAGCCTCCAGTGATGGATGGGCGGCGGCCGTGGACGGGGTGCACTGGCTGGGATGAACCTGGGTCTCCAGCACGGAAGGTGAGAATTCCACCACTGAGCCAACACTGCCCTCATGAGCCTTAACTACACCATGTCATTGATTTTACCGCTTTGAGATACTTAAGAACGTGAAATAAACATTTAACAACCGGGCAAGTTATATTCTGAGATCTGAAGGACACAAAGGGATGGGGTAGGGGCAGTTTGAACCAGTGCAGGTTGGAAATGACCCATCAGGGACTCGAATCTAGATCATCTGGAGGTCGGGCGCTCCGTTCAGGTTTAAACTGGAAAAGGGCAGTAAGAGGAGAGGGAGGCTGCTGACCTGGGGGGGTCTCTGCTCCTCACTGCACACTCGGCAGACAGTTGGCTGGGAAGCATCCCCTGCTAGGCAGTGGTGATACCCCAACCCAAGCTGGCCAGGAGAGCTGTCTGGGTGTTTCCTTCTGAGCTTCGATCCCTGACCCTAACTCCTGGCCCCCTTCTTCCTCCTTCCAGTGGACCAAGGAAGAAGGGGAGGCTCGGGCTCTAACTGGAAGGGAGAGGAGGGTCTTTAAAACCCTCAAGGACCTGACGCTATGCTCAGGAGGCCCACACGTGGCTGCCCTCTCCTTACCCAGGTCCCCCTGGACCTTTCCCTTCCCGTGAAGCAACCTCCGGACGGAATCCTCTGCCAACCCCCACCCACCCACACCGGAAAGAGGCAGAGCAGGTCAGTGGACAAAAGGGAGAAGCGAGGACAGAAGACGCCGGGGCCGTGAGCCCGGGGAACAAAAGCTGAAATCTCTGACGGAAGCGGCGCTCCCCGCGTCTTTTCATAACTTATGCATGTGGGACTCCTGACAGGCTGATTTGGTTGTACACACAGTATTAAGGAGAGCGGCTTGCACCCGTCAAGAGAAAGAAATGCACTTCAGTCTACAACAAGCGGGTGACTCACGGCGACCTGCCCAGACAAAGCCGGCCACAGTACCTGTGAAGGAGGAGGTTGCAGGCTCGGATTTCCAGCCTTCTGGGTTCATGCCAAGCAGCGTGGCAAAGCAATCCACCATCTCCTCCTGCGTCATGTGTTCCCCTGGGCATCGGAGAGAAGGGGGGATGGTGGCTGAGCTCGAGGGCCCAGTATGATGTCAGAGCTCAGTGGCATCGTTCCAGGGTCACAGTTATTCGCTATTTCCTTTTCTTTAGACACAGAAGCAATCTAGAGTCTCGGGTCACTGTCACGTATGCATAATGTCGTTGACGCTAGCAACCAGTGAGTCGGCCCCTGACCCATGGCGACCCCATCCACAAGGGAAATAAACGTGCCCGGTTCTGCACCATCCGCATAACTGGCTACAGATCGGACCCAGTGTGCTCCACGGTGTTCACTGGCTGGTGTTTGAAAGTATACCCCAGGCCTTTGCTCCCAGTCTGTCTGCGTCTGAGAGCTCTGCTGAAATCTGGTCGGCGTCTGGCCAACACACAGGCCCCCACGGACAGACGGGTGGGGGCCGCACACGAGCTGCGCTGGCCAGAATCGAACCTGTGTCTCCCTCACGGAAGGCATCTCCGTACAGTTGAAAATGGGAACATGTATCAGGAAAAGTGCATTAAACCTGTGGTGATAATACGCTGAGGCTTGTACAGAGGAATAAAGATAAACTGGCTAATAAACCCCCAGCCTGACAACGATGAAAGTATCACCCCGAGACGAAGGCTGCCTGACATCCTCACTCGAAGTAATGAGGGAAATACTCGAGGAAAAACACAAAACTTGACTTTGGTGTTGCTTTATGGCACAGGTGCATTCCAGTCTTGCCACAGCCCTGAGAGATCAGTGGGCTGGTGTTTTTACTCCCATTTCACAAGTGAGGATGCTCAGTCTTGGGACCTACGTGCCATTCTTCCAAGGCTTAGGTCAGCATCCTTCCCGTTGCCCGTGGCTACCAGATCTGTGGTCAGCGAGTCATATCCCTCACAGCTGAAACCCTGGCAGGTTACTGGTTCTCTGTGACACACGGAGACCCCAGGGAGCCCAGCTCCCTGACTCCGCTCTCCAGAGGGGTGGCCCTGTGGTATCAGCAGAGAGATGGGTATCTGTGTATCAGTGCACTTACCTTTAGTTAGAAGCAGCCTCAGGAGATCTTCTCGCTGAATAGCCTTCTTTCCCTCGGAGTTGCTATAACCCAGGACGTCAAAGCTGTGCTGGATACCGCCCATGCTGTTGCCGAAAGGCGGCCGGTGGTTGAGGTAGACCTTGAGGAAATCTGGTAAGTTGATTTTATCAACCAGCTTTCCAGTGTCTACGTACTCGCCAAATTTAATCTCATTAAACATATTGTCAATCTAGAGAAGAGGTTAACACAAGATGGGGAAAAAAAAAAAAAAACCACAGTAAACAGAAAAGACAATTTGATAAACTTCTAAACAATTTGATAAACTGTTCACAGTTAGCTTCATCCGTCCCCAATTTGTCAATATTATTAGAACTCGCATGAATAATGGTGTCATATTCTCACCTTTCACGTGAGCACCTCACAGTGGATCGACTTCATAGAAATTAAACACTTTGGTGCTTCAAAGGGTGCCATCAAGAAAGTGAAATGACAGCCCACAGAAGGTGAGAACATATTTGCAGATCATTTATCTAATAAGGGACTTGCATCCAGGATGCAGAAAGAAGGCTTGCAACTAAATAATGAAAAGACAAATAAACCACTTAAAAACGGGGAAAGGATTCGTATAGACATTTCTTCAGCAAAGACTACAAGTAGGCACATGGAAGGATGGTCAACAGGGAAATGGCCATCAAAACCACAATGAGACGTCGCTCGCACCCACCAGCATGGCTATCATAAAAAAGGCAGACAATAACAAGCGCTGACAAGGATGTGGAGAAACTGGAGCACTCTGACGCTGCTGGGGGGAATGTAAAGTGGGGCAGCCACTTTGGAAAACCATCGGGCACGTTCTTGAAACGTCAGACATGGTTAGCGAAAGGTCCAGCAATTCCACTTCTAGGTGCGTATCCAAGAGAAATAAAAACACGTCCACACAAAAAGGTGTACACAGACATTCTTAGCACCATTACTCCCAATGTCGTGAAGTAAAAACACCTCAATGTCCATCAGCTGAAAAGGGATAAACAGAATATGGTGAAGCCAAACAATGGAATATTAGTCATAAAAAGGCAAGTTCTCTGAGATGCCACAGCATAGATGAACTTGAAAGCCTTGTGGTGCGTGAATGAAGGATGCCAGTCACAGATGACTGTGCTGTATGACTCCGTTTATAGGAATTGTCCAGAACTGGCAAACTCATAGAGACAGAAGGCAGAGGAGAAGTTGGCAAGGGCTGGGTCAAGGGCTTGGGGGTGCTAGGAAGTGACTGCTAACGGCACAGATGGAAACACTCTGAAGCCAGTCTAAGGTTGACCGTGATCATCACACAACTCCGAACATAATGGGATCCGCTGAGTCGAACCTTCGAGGCTTTTTTTTAAAAAACTTTTTATTATGATCTGGGTGAAAGTTTACAGAGCAAATTGGTTTTCCATTCAACAATTCATACACATTTTGTTTCGTGATATTGACTGCAACCCCCACAAGGTAAGCATTCTTCCCACTTCCTGCCTTCGTCCATCTTTCCTGTCCCCTCCTGCCTCTGAGCTCTGTCCCTGGGCAAATGCTGCCCTTTTGGTTGGTTGTTCTAAGGAGTGTACATCTCCCTGACGTTATTCTTCACCTTACAGGCCTATTGCTTGGCTGAACGTGGATCCGAGAAGGTGAGTTCAGGCTTCAAGGGTGTCTGAGGGCCATCACCTCAGGGGATGAGTTGTACACTTTAAAAAAGTGAATTGTATGGTATGTCAATTATATCCCAATAAATCTGTTTAAAAATAAAGACACTGCCCAACTAAATGAAATCACTAACATCTTAGCATCTTCCCGCATCCTCCTTCCCTGTTCCACTCCTCACACCCGGCTCCATGTACCTCCAATCAGAATGTTCTATTTATCATGCCCTGATTGTTTTAAGTGGGACTCGTGGTGGCACAGTGGTTAAAGTGCTCAGCTTCTAACCAAAACGTCAGCAGTTTGAACCCACCAGCTGCTCTGCGGGAGAAAGATGTGGCAATCTGTTTCCGTAAAGATTTACAGCCTTGGAAACCCTAGGGGGCAGAGGCACAGGTTTGCGTTTGGGTTTTGTTTCACCGTTTTATCATTTTATTGCACGTGTTATGTATCCCTAGGCCATATATTGTTTATTTTGCTTTAAAGACACTTGAAGGGAGGTAAGTAATTTTAAACCTTCTCACTTGCTGTTCTAGTACTCGCACAATTACAGCACACTAGCTCATTTAATTTTTTTCTGATCATTTTCAGACTTCTGTTCTCACATCCACACACCTTTCTGAAGCAGAGAATGTGATGATTTTTCACTCCATCTGCTGTTAGGTGTTGGCTGATCCCAAGAACGTTAAAATAATCTAAAGCGAGCTGTATTGGGCCACCTGCCCTCTGACCACATAAACCGAAGCTGTAATCCAGGCTCCCAAGCACATGTGGTGACAGCTCTCCTCTCCACCACTCACAGAAGCCCCAGGTGACAGTACCATCATCACCCAGAGAATGGGGCCCACGAGATGACTACCTGCCCATTCTTTGCATCTTTAAGAAAATAATACTTTTTCATTTTTTTCCTCTTGATTTAGAATGCCATCCTTTGAGTTGTTGTTGTTGTTGTTATGTGCTGTCGAGTTGGACCTGACTCATGGCGACCCCTCCTTGGGTTTCCAAGGCAGTATCACTACGAAAGTAGATTGCCCCATCTTCCTTCTGAGGAGTGGCTAGTGGATTTGAACCACCAGCTTTCTGGTTAGCAGTCAAGTGCTCTAGGCACTATGCTACCAGAGCTCCCATCCTTTGAGTACTTCCTGTATTTTTCTATGAGATTACAGATCTTATATAAAGAGTTTGATCCAGGGAAGGCCAGCCCTAGAGGTTCCTGGAAAGCCAGTCTGAATAGGGGCTGACCTGTCCAGACTCACATGGAAACCTGGTGCCGGCTAACGCAGGGCTCTGCGTGGGGCTCCTTGTATAACTGACTGCTATGGACTGAACGGGCTCCCCCCAGGAATGTGTCAACTTAGGGGGGCCGTGCTTCTCTGTATTGGATAATTACCCTCCATCTTGTGATGTAAGTTCCCTGCTGCTGTAAACCCTCTCATCTGTGATGGTAACGAGGCAGAATTAGAGGCAGTGATGTTAATGAGACAGGCTGCAGGCTGCAGGATTAGGCTGTATCTTGAGTCAATCTTTTTTTTTTTTTTTTCTTTTCCTTCACCCAAGCTCCCATGTGTCCACCTTCTAGTTAGTGACTTAGCCTCCCTTCCCCATGGATATCTGTTGTTGTTGTTGTTGTTATGTGCCGTCAAGTCGGACCCGACTCATAGCGACCCCTCCTTGGGTTTCCGAGGCAGTATCACTACGGAAGTAGATTGCCCCATCTTCCTTCCGAGGAGTGGCTGGTGGGTTTGAACCGCCAGCCTAGTGATCATCAAAGAATATTTCTTTTACTGTGAAACCCTTTTCTTGACTTTGTGTAATAGTGGCCTCATATAATATTTGTCCTTTTGTGATCACCTTCGTCCATGTTATGAGATGTTCGGCAGGTTCATCACTCTTCTTTAATGTTGCACAGATGCCACTGTGTGTACGCACCATGGTTTGGTGATCCATTTCTCTGCTGACAGGCATTGAGCCAATCTCTTCTGAGATACAATGGGCATTAAACAAGTAAGCAGAGATCCGCGGGACACACCACCACCAAGAAAGAAGAGCCTTTGGATTTAGGGACCCTGAGCCAGGAACCTCCTAGACCCAGGGGAAGACTGATGTCCAGACACGTGGAGATCTGCAAGGGACACCAGGCCCACAGATGTTGACAGGAGACAAGGACCTTCCTCCTAAACTGTGAGCCAACAGAGAGAAAAAGCCCTCCCCTGGAGCTGGGCCCTGAATTCAGACCCTAGCCTCTAAACTGTGAAAGAAGAAACTCGTTTGATAAAGCCATCCACTGGTGGTCTTTCTGTTATAGCAGCATTGGAGAACCGAGACAGAGTACTAGGACACTGACAAAATGCACGAGAGAAATAGAATTCAAATTTTAAAAAACGAAAAGAAAAGGACACTCCTCCCTGCTGTCAGCCTGCCTGTGTGGTATTTCTGCACTGTGTCCGCTGCCGTCGGCTGAGACGCGTGCAGACACCCGAGCCGCGCCTGCCAAATGCTGGGAATGAGTAATTTATTTCACCGTCTACAGTTTAACCCCCTGAATATGTCTCCCAACAAACTGTGGGGTTTGGAATGTTACAAAGCGAGAGAAGGAGAGAGACACAGAGAAGTGGGAAATAACGTCTTTTTTTCTCCCCCCAGAACACGAACTCTATTTTCAGCTGTGCAAGTGAATTAGAGACTGCATCTATGCTGGTGCGACGTTGCTCAGTAAGTAACCGATTGTGGATGGCAAAGAGCTGCAATTCTGGATGGACTCGAACATGCCAGCAACTATGAGGACAGTGCAGGACCGGGCGACGTTTGTTGTCATGCGTAAGGTTGCCGTGAGTCAGTGCTGGCTCCGCGGCAGCTGTTGATCGGTCTGTCTCTACCTACCCAGTTTCTCCTTGTAGGGAACAAACGTGTAAGGAGCCCAAGTTAGAAGCAAAGCCAAGTGTCGGCCTGTCCAGGCACATGGTGTCTTGGTCTGGTCCCAAGTGTCAGGAAGAAAAGACAACGTTCACGCAATTCAACCGTACAGCGTAACTTTGGTGAAAGCTTTGGTTCATCTTCTTTGCACGCATATAAGATAGATGTGTGTATTTCTGCAAACTCGGTCTCATGTGTACATACATTCTGTATCCTGCTTTCTCCCCTTGGCACTGCATCCCAGGGATTGCCAAGCATCTTCAAAGAAGGCACACAGGCTGAAGGCAACATGCAAGTCTTCTGACAAATGAACTGTAAATTATATGACAGAGGTGGCTTTACATGGTTACACTGTCCAAATGGTCAACGATGGGGAACCAGATGACTAGAAGCAAAACATTCAGATGGGAAATGAGAAAGTTTAAAATTTAAATGTAAAAATTGTAACCAGTATGTCTGAACAGTTTGTGTGGTAATCATTAAAGGGGATCCTAATTTGCTGTGTAATCTTCCATCAAAAACACAATAAAACATTTTTTAAAAAAGAGATGGTAACACTGTTTCATATATGCCTTTACTGAGTTTATATATTATGTATAATTGCATGTTAATGTATAAATAAGCCACCACCCAGTAGTG